CAGCCCCCCGGGGAGGCTCTTGTAGTCAGTATTACTATTTCTAAATCAACTCTGGGCTTTTCATATGTGTGAAACCAGGGATCAAACCAGGGCCCTGAGCACGCTAGGCTGACGCCCTGTACTTCACCTCCAGGCCCCAACTCTGAGCTTCACACCTAACTTTGAGCAGGCAGCTTTCCTTCTCGGGCCTCAGTTTCCCCATCAGTGCCCATGCAGAGTGCTTTGTAAGTGGCTTTGCGTTTTCTCCACACCGGTTCTGACTGTTACGTGGTCATCTCCGGAGCACAGGACAGCATTTGCCTCTCTGAATTCTGGGCAAAGCATGGCTGCTTTTTGAGTGTTTGCTACACCGAGTGGCTCTTGCAGTAGTGAATTCCCTGCTACTAAAGATATTCAAGTAGTCTAGGCAACATTTCTAGTGTACTTGGGTCGATTCCTTAAATTATAATACTGTTTATGGCTCCCCAGTCCGACGCTGAGCTTCTTTATTCCAATTTTGCTGACTAAGGGCATTTCTTTTGTGGGATGGAGGTACTGGAGGTGCTGACTGACTGTAAATCAGGAGATGCGTGGGCTGGAGTTTTCCTTAGCAGGCGTTAACAGGGTGTGGCACCAGCCAATTTCCAGGGTGCAAATGAGGAGCAGAGAGGGTGCTGGTTTCCAGAAGGATGCCCAGCGTGGGGTTTGAGTCTGGCCTGGGACCACATGAAGTCTGTGCCTATTCTGCCGCCCATGACTGCGTTCCTGCAGGAGGTGGGGAGACAGAGTGTGTGTCACCTCTGTCTCAATTATACAAGTATCCTCCACCCTTCAGAGCCAAGGGGCTGTAGTTTGTCACTGCGTTGGTGGGAGGGGACTGGAAACCTCCCCCCGGGCCCCTGTGGGGCCTCTGCAGAGCCTACGTGAGGTGCAGGCCACACTCAGGCCATGAGGTTCATCCGCTGTTGCAGAGCCTATGTGAGGTGCAGGCCACACTCAGGCCATGAGGTTAGTCCGCTGTTGTATGGCCCAAGTGGAAAATTCCTGCTTTCTGACATGCATGAGCTTGCATAATTTCTTTGTGCTTGAAATTTTTGCAGCCAGAAACAAAATCCTCCAAGGCCACCAGGGCCAACCGGTGCCAGGCAAGGGCACACCCAGGCTGAGGCAGCTGTCTCTCCCACCCTGCTCCAAAACAACGCAGGGGAAGAAGGAATGAAAATCTGTTTCTGCTTCCTGGCAGGTGACTGAGCAATCTGGGCCCCAGGTTCCTTATCAGTAAGTGGGGTTGAATACTGGGAGTTGCGCATCGATGTTAGGGGTTGTATTATAGGAGTCTGTGTCCCATGAGATGCCAGAGTCCTTGTCTCCGTGCACTCAGCTTTGATCACTTGTCTCCCCTCCTGTGGCAAGCTCGAGAGCCCAGGAAGTGTGAAAACCACGTGGTCAGTGAGCACTGAATGTCCGGTCACAGACTGGGGCAGGCAGGCGGTTGGGCCTCTCTGAACAGGGAAAGGACTGACCGCCAGTCCTGCCTCTGGAAAGTTCAAAGTGAGGACACTTAGGGCAAATCAAGAATCCAAAAACAATGCCTTTTCCTTCTTGCACACTATTTGGAAAATACAAAAGGACAGCAAATGCTTCGTTGCCGGAAAAGTTCATCATCATGAAAAGAGGAGCAGGAGCAACCTAAATGCTGAGGACTGGGGACTGCGAAGCACTCTGTACTCTCTCCGTGCACTGCCTGCTGAGCAGGAGGAGAATGATGTTCCTAAGAGTTCACCCAGTGACAGACTGCCAGTGTCCTGTCAAACCCGAGCATTAAATTATATACACAACATGGCCCAAAATCTAGAGGGCACAACACGAAATCATTACTGGTTGTGGTTGTTTTGAGGCAGGGGATCATGGGTTGTTTCCTGGTTTTCTGTAGTCTTTGTAGTGGTTTCCATGTTTCCCCTGGAGAACATCTGTTACTTTTGTAATGAAAATATTTAAATGAGCCTACGTGTTTTCTTCTTTTACAAAAAAACAAAATGAACCACGGTGTGTTTATGTAAGAAAGCTGAATGGCCAAGTCATGCTTAGAGAAAGCCCTTGCTTACATAAAAACTGGTAAACAAAAGCGTCCCCATGTTTTCGGTTAAAAGAAAATGTTTATGTTTTTGCAAACTGTCTTGAATGGTTCTTTTTGTGCTTAGCCACCAGTCCTAAGCAGATGGGCTTCTGGTCCCCAGGGAAGTCAAGCAGGCGTGGCGTCTGCAGCAAGGAGTGTGAAGATTCGGTCACCCACTGGCTGGAAAGTCCACTGGTGGTCCTATCATTCCACCCGATTCCATGATTTTGTACCCCAGTGAGACAGAGGGAAAAGGAGCGAATCCTTCCACAGCCTGTTCTCTGTTCGGATTCACGTCTCTTTCAGTTCAGTAAATCTCTGAGTAATTTTTCTGTGATGGTGGCAAGAATGGTATTTTCCTGAGCCCTTTCATGCTACAGCATTCTGTGCAGTATCAGGTGTGGTTTGCAGTGTGTCCTCCAAAGGCTCCTGTGTTGCAGCCTTGGCCCCCAGGGTGACATTACTGACAGGCGCTGTGAAACACTTAGGGGGCGGGGCCTAGCGGGAGGTCTTTAGGTCATTGGCAACTCTCTCAGAAGACATTGGGAGACCCCAGCTGCTAAACAGCCTCTTCCTGTTTAGTGATGTGATCTCTCCCTTCCACATGCACTGGCACACTGTCATCTACTACGTGGTGACAGAGACAAGGGAAAGGGCCTGTAAGAGCCTGTGCCATGCTGTTTGAACTGTCAGCTCCCAGAATCATAAGCTAAATAAACCTCTTTCCTTCATAACGTTGGCCTGCCTCAGGCACCTTGTTATAGGAAAGAAAGATGGACTAACACAGCATTACAACCTGTTTACCTCTAGTCCATAGATGTTCTTCTACTGGGGTCTCCTATATTTGCTGCTGCAGAAAAGCTTGACTTTTCCTGCTTGTTACCTGTCCCTATAAGCCATCTCCAAGTTCTGGTCAATCTGATGTTTATAGTATTTCCTTTTCTCTTTGTAATTCAAAAATGCTGTCAAAATGTATCTAAGGGACACTGTGTCATCTCACCCTTTCTTGTGCTTTGTGTGGGATGGGGGGCTCCATTTCATGGATGAGGACTCAGAAGCTGGAACCCAAACTAGATCTTGGGTGTCTGGGACTCCCACATGCACTCCTCTAAGGTCACCCCAATCTGCCCTGTCAGGCAAATCTTCTGGCTAACAAAAAACAAACCAAAACAAACAAACAAAAAAAAACAACAACAAAAACTGGATGGTGGAGTCACACTGGCTGGCATTTGGGTAAATCTCAACCGTGGCACTGACTTAGGGCGTGACTTTATGTGAGTAGCCCTGCCTGAGCCTGGGTCCTCTTCTTGTAGCATCAACAGGGGCACTATCTCAGCGAGAGCTATCGCCAGGACCCTGAAGGACCCCTGACACTCAGCACCAGCCTCCTTTAATGCTCAGGCATGGTGTATCCTCTGTTTTTCCTCTGCCCCCCTCCCCTCAGCCACAGGGACTCTTGGAAGAAATTCCCAAGGCCAGTTGCAAAAACGTCCCCAGGCTGGTATTTATCCTCCCACTGGTGCACATGTCCCCTGCTGGGAAGATGGGGGTAGGAAAGGAGGGGACAGGAAAGTGTCCCAATCATAGGATGGGTAGGACCTGCTGAGGCTTCTGGAAAGAAGAGACCAGGCTGGGGCTCAGGCTCCACCAGCTTCCTCTTTGTTCTGCCGTCTTCTCCCCTCTGTTCCTTTTCTCCTTCCCTCCCTTGCTCTCTCCCTCCCTCCCTCCTTCTCTCTCCCCAGCAGCAGGCTAGTTTCCTGCCTGCCCTGGGCAACCTCTGGAGTTCTCACCTCTACACTCTGCCTGTCTGTGGAAAAAAGAAAAAGTGGGCAGAGCCAGCCAGGCTCCCATGGCCTCTCAGCCTCTGCTTCATCTCAAAGGACTGTTTCAGCAGCCAAGCAGGGACACCATGGAGGAGCACTTGTGATCTGATCACTGTGGGGTGGCAATGGTGTCCTGGGAGCCGGAATGGGGCTTATATATGCTTCTGCCAGTTCTACAAGCCTCCCTGGCCACAGTATTTGCCTTGCCCCATGTAGGTATAAGTTGCTCTACCTGGGTGTGGACCTTGAATCTGAAACCTATGAGAGACAGGGAGAAAGAGAGAGAGGGGGAGGGAGGGAGAGAGACAAAGGGAGAGAGAGAGAGAGAGAGAGAGAGAGAGAGAGAGAGAGAGAGAGAGAGAAAGAAACACGAGCTTAGGACTTATCCACAGTGACAAATCAGACATCACAGAGGTATTACAAGCTGGTTGTGGGGATAACAGACAGCAGAAGAGCAAGGGGTGTGTGTGTGTGTGTGTGTGTGTGTGTGTGTGTGTGTGTGTGAGGGGTGACAGCAGACAGAGGTTCAGAAAAGGAAAGAGTAGAAATCCTGCCATTTGGTTCCTGATTCTCGAGACTGGAACAAAACACTGATGTGACAGCCTCAGCATCCTCTGGGAATGGGACCTGGAGTTACAGATGCATTGCACTGTATTAAAGCCCCTTGGACCCCACCTGGCTCTCATGTGGGAGTCAGTTCCCAAGCTGGGGAGCCTGGAGCAGGCTCTTAGGAAGTGGTTAAACGAGGAAGGCATAAGCCGTCTTCTTGTAGCTGGGGTGCGGTACAGGCACCACCCCACATGGTGCCACCTATCTCCCATCCCAGGTGAGGAAGGAGAGGTGTGGAGAGGTCAGGAGCCTGCCCTGGGTTACTCGGCAAGGATGGCCTAGTCTACCTCTGGACTGTTCAACAACACTACTGGGCAACAGCGAAAAGGAAAAAAAAGTTTAAAAATTTAAAAGAATACTGCATGGCTGGGTGACCAGCCCATGCATGAGCCTGGGTTGTGACCTTGGCTGGATGCCTAGCTATTCAGAGTTGGAGCCCAGATAGTGATAACAGGGCTGGGCACAGAGGGGTTGCGGCTGCAGCCTCTTAGAGGTGAGGCGCCTTCTGTCTGAGATCCAGGAGCTTTGGCGAACCCTGGGGACCAGAGAAAGGACAGCTTCTGGAGGGCAGGTGCGTGCGGACCCCTGGGAGGCAGATCTGACCTCCCCGTGCCATCCACTGGTGGACGGGGTGGGGTGTGCTCTTCACACTCATCCCCTGCCCAGCCGTACTTGCCTGCTTGAATTCTCTGCCTCACCACACAGCGTGTCTCATGTTACTTCCTCTCCTGCTGTCTGCTCTCAAAGCAGCCGGCAGGGGTCTCCTAAAGTGGCTTCCTGGTAGTAATGTTTTCCTTCCTCCTAATGCATCATTTTGCTTGTGTCTTATTATTTCCTTTTTTCTATTTTGGAGAGGAGGTCACTATTCAGCACCCAGCTTCTCTGAATTAGGCACCTAATCCACATAATCCTTGCAGTTTAATTCCTAACTCTCAATCCAGCTCTGGAAGCAGCCTCCTAGTTAGGCAGGTAGTGTCTGTCAGGTCTCTGAGCCAGACCAGCACCCGACTAGGAGAGAGAAAGCTCCCCAGGCAGACCTGTTATTCACACCTGGGGGGCCATGGCGTTCAACAGGAAGCCTGTACAGCTCAACCTGCAGAGGGCCGATTCCACCAAAAATCACAGGAGACACGCTGTGCCTGCCAGCACCCCGTACCCAACCCTGCCATCACCCAGCCTTAGACCCCCTACTCAGAGACCCAAAACTCTGTACCCCCCACCCAGCAATGCCCCCTCCTTGACCTAAACTCCCCTATAAAAATGCCCTCACCCCTTGCTCCGGGCCAATGGTCTTTTCACCCTTGGCCTGATCGTACCCCGTCAGCAATAAAATCCTCGCCTGCCTCAGTGATCTCAGTTGTGCCTCAGTTTCCCTAACAGGGTTCTGATCAAGCATCCCCCAAACAGCTCTAATTGCACTTTTGATGGCAGAGTTTCGAGGAGTGTATTTTCTAAAAATTTGAGACCTTTATGATGTCCAGTTTTTACACTTGCTGTTAGTTTCTGCTGGATAGTCAAGTTAGGCCACCAGGTAGAGCTCTGAGTCTGTAGCTTTTTACTGCTGTTAATCTCTGTGCCCTGAGGCTTTCTTCAGGGCTTAATTTTATAAATTAGTCAATTCCTGTCAATGAGCTCCCTCCGGGAATCCCCTTTTTACGCTTCTACATCTGTGACAGACATCAGAACTGCAGCCATTTATTAGCATTAAGAGTAGAAAAATTTCTTCTTCATGATAAGTAAAACCTTCAGTACTGTCTCATTCTTCCCATCTCCTCCCCTCCTAATCTCAGCTTGAAATTACAGGAAAAGTTTGGTTCTAAGGCTAAGGCAGAAGGAATTAGTTTCAAACTAAGGCTAGAACGACCTAGAATGACCTTATCTAGCTAGCAAGCAAGCAATCGAGAAATAAAACAGAAAACCTGGAGGCATCGTTCAGTGCAAAGGACCTGTGCTCAATCCCCCACTACCTCAAAAAAGTCCCTTTCAGAATTTTTCTAAATTCCTTATCTTTTCTCTTCTGATCAGCCCTTATAAACAGTCATGAAGTTTTATAGGCATACTGTACGCAACTTGCTGCCGTGACCTCAGACTAAAACATATCTTCCTCTTTCTTCTAAGATCAGATGAGACTGGGGCACATTCAGGGTAGTGTGACTGTAGGATTCTCCATTTTGAATTATCTAGTGTGATTAATTTACCATTTGACTAGACTGTTTAATCAAGTGCTTTTTTTTTTTTTTCAGAAAAAATAATTCTGCCCCAGGACCTAAGCCTGAGGGTATGGATCCCGTTTTGGGGTGCCCTGCAGCTATGGAGCCCAGCACAGAACCAGGCATGGTAAATGCCCTGTGAATGTCCTTTCTCATGTCACCACTAAAGCATGAGTGACCCAGGGCCAGCTGTCCTATGCCCTGGGTCCTGCCCTTTCCCTGACAGCTTCTTTGCAGAGCTGGTTCCCACGTGTGGGCACAAATGCATGAATTACTGCCTGCATTTTGTTCTCAGGCCACTTCTCACACGAGGGAAAGTTAGCACAGGTGACAGATGATGGGGCTCTCAGAGGACTTGGTCTTCTTTCTATTTCCATACCGCTTTATTTTGCTTTTTATATTTATTTGTTTGCCAAGAGATGTATGTGTTCACAATCAAAGCTCAAAGAATCAAAAGGAGGAAACACTGACCAGTAAGCATCCCTCCTGGCCTGTCTAGCCTGTCACTCTTACCCCCAGATGCAGCCTGCTGTCCCCTGGTGTCCCTCTCTTTCCAGATGTCCTTTTGCAGGCATATGTCCCTGTGTCCACTTGTCAGGATGTCTCTGAAAGCCCCTAAGTTCATGATCTTCTCCTCTGCATGAAGCAAGCTGTCACCTCAAGCTGTTTATTATTATTTATATATTATTTAAAAACACCTTACTCTGTACATATTCTTGCATATGTTTTTGGACATATTTGCCCATCTTTATAGGTTCCACGCATGCACACCATGCACAGTAATCAAATCACGGCAACAAGAGTTTTCCTATCTTTGAACACTGGTCACTTTTAGGTGCTGGAGAATTCGTGCCCTTCTCTCCTGGTCACTGTGAAATGTGTCATAGGTTGTTTTAGCTGCTGGTCACCTTGCCTTGCTAAAGAAGAACCAGAAGCGACTCCTCCTCTCCTATCCCTTGCTGACCTTCTACCTGGCTCCTGGTTCTTTGATTGCCTCCTGCTGTCCCCTGTTGGAGCTCTGTGCCCCACATTGGCCAGGTTCAGCGCGACCCAAAGTCCTCAGACTCATCTAGCAGACACCACTGAACATCAAACCTCCCCGAGCTTACAGGTAAGAGAGCTGAGCACCAAGGGCCTGAGACACCCCTGCACCCCATAATGCTTTGCATCACATCTGTGTAGGACGAGCACCTGGTTTGGGGTACAGCTGGTGGCAGGTGGCACACATGACTCTGACTTTCAATGTTCCTTGCTCCTGCCAAGTAGAGGGAAACAGCAAACTCCCCTCCGTGCTCCTAGGGCTCACGACTGGGGGCAGTGTCCCCGTCATGGCGCTGCTGCCAGAGCATAGAAAGGCAGAGTGTGTTTTTCTCCAGAGAAGCAGGAGTGGGGATGCTGTCATCAGGAGTAGCTCATGCAGCTATGCAAGACTTTCCTTCCCCACAGAGAAGGAACAGAGGTGGGGTTGGCCCAGGAGCCCCCACGACGCCACTCCTGGCCAGGGCACCCACTTCCTATCGCAGCCCGTGACTCAGGAGGCATATCCCAACCTGCTGGAAAGCGTGGCCCACTGCCCACCCCTCCCAGCAGACGGTACTGCCCCCTCAGTGGCGACTCCAATCAGGCTCAGTGTGTGCAGCGGCGAGACACAGGCAGGGGCCGCTGCTGTAACTGGGAGCAGCAGAGTCGTCCCAGTGGCTCAGGACCGGAGACAAAATAACTTATCCAACAAAGTCATCCATGGGGAAGAAAGCAGGGTTAGAACTAAAATGCAGGGCAGGATTGCACCATCTCCTCTGCATCGAGGCCAGGAACATGACCAGAGGGACATAAAAGCTGTCTGAAATAAAGCCGTCATCTCTGGTCACCCCAGTGCTTATCAGCCAACATGGGCAAACCCTCTCTGCTGTGCCAATGAGTCCCTGCTGTCCCCACGGAGCAGGCAAGCAGACCACTTTGCAGACAGAGAAACCGAGGCTCGGAGATTACAGAGCTATTCAGGATAACACAGGGTGACACAGCTGTGAGTGGAAAGCCCAGTTCCCTGCTGCCCCCACTGCTCCCTTTCTCTAGCTGGAGACATCCATCCAGCGTCCATAAAAATCAATCACTGAATTACTCTTGCCAAACTCCAAGCAGAAAACATGCAAGGTACTTCCTCCTGCCAGAGCGCTTCTCCCAGGCCACATGTCAGAACTAGCAAAGGAAGGGAACTTTCCCCAGACTCCCCAGAACCAGAGAGAACACTCCAAATGCTCCTCTCCCACTGCCTGCCCTCCCTGGGAAGACATCCCGCCCTTTCCAAAGGCAAGGCTGCTGGGCACCCCTGCCTGGCACTCACTGTGTCTGGTCTGGAGCCAGTTGTGCGGTCAGTTCTGAGCCTCCTCACCCAGCAGGCTGCCTGTCCTCCCCACAGTCTCCACCTCTCAGAGGAGCCCCAGGAGCTGGAGCTGAGGGAGCTGAGTGTCGGGAACAGCTCATCTTTCAAGGGCTGGGACGCTGATGTCATCGCCCTCCTAGGCACTTCCTCCCTCCACCTCCAGCCTGGCTCCAAGCCCCTGCCTGGTGCTGCAGCCAGGCCGGCAGCCGCAGGAGTTGGGAGTCCCAGCTGGCAGGGGCCTGGCCAGATAGGTGCAGCCCCCTCCAAGCCCTGGGGGCTCTGAGAGCAGCATGGAGACCTTTTCTGTTTGTCAGAGAAATGCTCTACCTTGTAAACTGCTTGCCAGGTACAAACTCCAAGTGACAAAAGTGTCCCAGCAGGCTGCAAAGCAGCGTGTGAAGGGCCACATAAATACACATGTGTAATGTAACAGGTATTGCTTATTGTTATTTATTGGTCTGGGTTTCCAGTGAAAAAAGTGGGTGTTTACATAGACAGTGTAAACAGTGTGTCCAGGTGGGCAGGGGAAGTTCTGAAGATTTTAGAAGTTTTTGAAATACCGCACACATCTCCCAAGGGTCACAATGGCAAACTTGGAAGCATCTCTCCGTCCTGCTCTCCAGTGAGTCCTGTCTCTGCGCTCCTCTGAGACATGGGAGTTGCTCTGGAGAACCCTTAAAGTGGTTTCTTTCCACTTGCACACTCCGGCTTCCCCCTCTCCCCTCTGAAGACTCCTACCCACCTCTCTCACTTCTCCCAGAGGCTGAGGAGCTGGAAACCACAGGGTCTCATTGACTGTTTTGCTTGAAGTCCTTCAGGGAGACAGCAGGTCAGACTGGGCTGGGAGGACTTGGGGACAGATAGGGCCAGAGCGCTACCTGCTGTCTTCCCTTCCCCTGAACCTCTCCGAATCAAAGCAGTGATTGAGTCCAATCCCATCATCCTAGAGATGGGGAAACTGAGTCCCAGAAAGGCAGGAAGGTTAATGTAATGTAGGATCCAGTTGGGGCTTGGCTGCAAACCTGAGTCCGGGGCCTCCTGCCCTGGTTGGCCCTGTTGATTCATCTGCATCTGGTAGGTTGGGTCATGTGGCAGACCCTGAACTGGGGCCCGTGGACAAGCCCTGGTTGTGCTTGCTCTGGGGAGAGATCTACAGCCTTTCTCAGGCTGCTGAGGGGTTCTGCGATGGGAGGGTTCACCTGTGAGCCCCACGAGGACAGGAAGCCCTTGGAAGCCACTTCCAGGCTGGACACCTTTGTTTGTGGGATGAAAACCCTCGAAGACCTACATCCACTGTGATGTTTTGTAAATACTACTGAGAAGCTCCAAAAGACAGAGGTTTGTCATCTCATATCTCCATCCATTGCAGTCACATGGTTAGGAAAAAAGTTAAAATGCTGTTTTGACTCAGTTTTGAAAGCTGCTCAGTTCCTTGACAGTGTCTGAATTCACATTCCAGCCACAGCGTAGCTGAGGCTCACACCCCGGGGCACCATCACTTTGAAGCTGGGTACCAGGAACTGCGGACGGCACCTGAGGCCTGGAGTCAGGGAAGTGTTCAGATTAACCAGTCCACAGGAAGCGTGAGAAAGTGTGCCGCCTCCCAAGCTGTCCTGAAGCTGCCCCCCAGCCCCAGCTTGCTGTTACTCTGTTCCCACACGCAAACCCCTGTGCAGCCCCACCTAGCAGCCTTCTGACCCTGGGAGAGATGAGTCACAAAAGTTCTGCCTTCCTGTTATATTGAATCCTGCCATGAACAGAATCTGTTTAACTCTTATAAAATAATTATTCCTCCATTTATTTACACTTGTTCCTCACCGTTCCCCCATCTACTTATCCATCACCCCACAGATTTATCTCCTCATCCATCCACCCATCCACCCACCTGCTCACCTATCCATGCACCCATCCATCCATCCATCCACCCATCCATCCATCCATCCATCCATCTGCTCACCTATCCATGCTTCCATCCATCCATACATGCATCCATCCATGCATCCATCCATGCATCCATGCATCCATCCATCCATCTACCCATCCATCCATCCATCCATCTGCTCACCTATCCATGCTTCCATCCATCCATCCATGCATCCATCCATGCATCCATCCATGCATCCATCCATCCATCCATCCATCTGTTCACCTCTCCATCCATCCATCCACTCACCATCCTACCTACCCATCCACTCATCCATCTACCTTCTTTTTCCATCACCCCCACCCATCTACCCATCCTGCCCCATCTGTCCATCCTTCTTTTCCTCCATCCACCCACCCACATAGCCAGCGTCCATCTATCAGTTACCTACGCCATCAGGCAATGTGATGTCAGAACTGAATGACCACGTTCATTCCAATACCTTATCTACAGGCAGAGCCAGGCTGGGAGTCATTTCAAAGGACTCCTATGGATACAGTAATGACTCATGCTCCTCTTTGTCTGGATTAGCGTATCTTTGGTGTTCTGTTTTTATAAGGGAAAATTCAGCTCAACCCTTCCAGCTGGGCATGGTGGACTCAGCCCAGGCCCTCGTTCCCTAATGTAACCCCTCGAAGCACCCCAGGACACTTGAAGCATGTGGCAGGGTCCTTCTGCTGAATTTTCACAGCCAACAAAGCTATTATCCTCATTTAACAGATGTGGTAACAGAGGCTGAGAGAGGCCACGTGGCCCAGTACCCGCTCCGGCCACCTATCTTCCTTGAGTGTCTCACCACGGTACGTGATGGCCAGGCCACCAATGTAAACCGTGAGGCCCCTGCTTCAGAAAGCAGAAGGAAAAGGTACCAAATTTGCAGACTTCTTCCTTTCTGCTGTGGCTTCTCTCCAGGACTTTCATGATGGTGTTTTTGTCTTTTTTTCTTTTTTCTTTTGTTGCCACTTAATGTTCTAAATACAGAAAAGTTAAATTTTAAATTTCAGCCTGGATTTTAGGATCTGTCTTTAGGTCGTGCGATGCTAGTTTCAGGTGTGAACATCAGCGCATTTAATTCTCCTGTGGGCTCACAGCCAGTTGCTTGTGGTAGGTTTGTCTGTGTTTCCTTCCAGGCAGGGAAACCAAATGCCCTGGGCTTCTTTACCTCTGGACTGAAAACTCTGGCAGCAGTCTATGCTCTTGCAGAGGGAGAGCTGGAGAGGGGGAGGGGAAGGAGAGGAACAGGGGAGGGAGGGGAGCCGTCTGGAGGGACAGGCACCCCTTCTCCTTCCCTTCCCTGGGTCTTACATGTGAGTGCGCAGCTGTAGCCTAGGACAGGGTCTTTGGCCACTGGGGTTTAACACAGTGTCCTCCTGCCTCTGAGGCCACCCTGCAGTGAGAGGAGAGCGTGGCCTCTGTGACCAGCTTATGGACCTTGGCCTTGCTTTGAGCCTCTCTGAGCCCTGTTCCCCAACTTCCTGCTGTGGGGCCAGGGGCACCACTTAGGAAAGAGGCCTTCGGGTGCCCAGTATGGTTTCTGGGCTGCACAGGGAATCCCTCACTTGGGGACACTTAAGTCACCGCGGTCTGACCCGTCAGTGTGTGTGTGTCTTTCCTTCTGGCCACTTTGTCATATGCCTGTGCTGATTGTGAATATTAAATAGATACTTAAGACAAGTGACCTCCTTGAGATGCCTGGTGCCGCAGGAGGGATGAGGGAGGGGAGAGATGAAGGTGAGGTCTGGAGGCCAGTCTGTCCTCCTTCTGTCCCTCTGTCCTTGTGCTCCCCTGGGAAGAGGGTGGCGAGGGCTGGTCTCTTGGGGATAGTGGTTGGGGTGTCAGGAAGCAGCCTTGGTCTTGACAGCCGGCCTGGCCTAGCTTCTTACCTCTGTCACCAGTAGGGGGTAAGATGCTAAGGTTACTCACTTCCTGGTGCTGGGGCCCCCGCAGGAGACTTCCTGAGCTGAGAAATCCTCAGCCAGCCAGGCTGGGGCCTGTCTCCTGGCATGGCTCCAGCCCTCTTCTCCTGAAGCTGATTACGGGATCTGCCTGGGTCTTCCCGCTGCCCACAGGCTAGGGACCCCTCAGCATGGCCTCGGTAGCTATCTGACTGCCAGAATGGGGTCTAGGAGCCCCAATCCATCTTCTTCAGGAAACCCAGGCCAAGGAGGAAGCCCCTCCAGTGGGACAGGACCTGCTCTCGGCTTCTCCTCTAAAGACCTGAAACCCACACGTGAGAGTTCAGGTAACTGGGTGAGGGTTTGCAGAGTAGACTTGGGGGAGCGGCAGAGGGGACCTAGAGCTGACCCCACTCCATCTGTTATCCCTGTCCCAAGTCCAGGTTCTGTCTTCGTCCTGCCCAGGGGAGATGCAGCCAGGAGGGCCCAGCCTGAGGGGATGCCCTCTGCTCTGCACAGGCTTCTGTGCTGTGCCTCGCTGCTGGCCCTGCCCTATCAGGTCCCCTTTGACCATGTGCTGCTGTGGGGTGGCCCTGCACCTGCCTCTAACTTCCCCGCACCCTGCCCAGCCCTGTGCCTTCACACTGCAGAATGCACTTGCCTGGAAGATGGTGAGACTCAGATGAGACAACTGACAGGAGGTGACAAGGGGGCGCGACAGACATGGGCAGGGGCTGGGCCACAGGCACATACATTGACTGTAAGCCCAGAGCTGCCATTCACAGCCTCAGGATCTGGGAGGGAGTTGGGGATGTCGAGAAACCCAGCGGCAGTGTGCCCCACAAGCCTGTTGCCTGCCCCCATTGCTGGAAACTCCAGGAGACATGCAGCCTAAAGCTATGCCTTTTCTGCTGTAGATTTTGTGGAACTGACAGTGTTATGTGCCGCTATCACTTCTATCGGGGTCCAGAGCACTGCACTAACCACAGAAGGGACCCCACTGTGCAGTCACCCCCAACCCCTTTGACCACAGGCCCTCAATGTGAGCCTTCATGTCTGGCTTCTGCTATTTGGCCAGACATAAGAAACATCCATGTATGTTACACAGTGCCTTGTCCGCTTAGCGGCCAAAGGCATCCAGGAAAATGCGCCTTTAGCCTGAGGTGACTCAAGCTGCTAATGTGGACGCCTCTGAGTATCTGCTTCAGTTCTTTTGGAAATAAACCCAGTGGCATGCTGGGCTGTATGCTGACTCTGCACTGAACTCTTCGAGGAGCAATCAGACAGTTTTCTATGCCCAGC